AGCTCCTATGGGGAAAGGGCAAAAACAGGCATAATCCATTGATAGAGAAGGAAACATAAGACTGGTAGATAAGAACAAAATGCCTAAAACATTTATTGGGGTTCATAAGACAATCATATGATACAACACACTTCAAAAATATAAATTTCCAGGGCTAGTGTTGTGGTAGAGCACTTGCCTACCATGTGATAGATACTGGGTTCACTCTTCAGGACCACATAAAAAATAAATAAATAAAGTAAAAACAAAAAACAACAGATACTTTTAAAAGTATATAAATAAATTGCTACATGTACAGAAGGTATTATATTAAGAAATTTTAATTGTAAAAAAGTCATTGACTAAGAAATGTATTGGCTTATATAAAGACTTTGGACACATTTTGCTTAGTCATATTCATATTGCCCTATAAAAATAGGGCAATTGTCATGGCCATGATAAAAACATTTGTACTTTGAACTCAAAGGATGACTTGGAGGATTGTTTTTCAAACCTTTTAAATATTATGCTTTGATCTAATGAGAAACAAATGTGTTATGTTCACTTGAACAGTCTGGAAGGCCAGTAGCAGTGGTACATACATATAAGAGGATCTCAAGGCAACTTGGTGAGAATCTGTCTCAAAATAAAAAAATAAAAAGGGATGGGGACGTAGCTCAGTGAACATAATGGAATAAAACAAAGCATTAGAAAATTTCCTCTTATGTATTTCTATTTTTTTTTATTTCAAAGCTTGGACTCAGAGATAAAGTAACAGATCTAACAATCTATATTTGCAACTGCACATTGAACTTCATAGATGCTCAGATTTGTTTGATAAAATAAGGGACTGATGAGGACAAATAACAAGATCTGTGTTAACAGCATTAACTCTATGGCCATTCAACATACCTTTTTAGAGTTCAAGTTCATGGGCATATGAGTATGAGGGAACACAGGCTGCCTCCAATGTCTAATGTATACTACATTTTCAAAGCCACTTTGTTTTCCAAGCTACATGATAGTTTTTAACTATTATTGATAAATAAAACATAGTTTATCTTTTAAACACAACTTTACCATAATCCTTTTATTGTCTTGGGGGACTGGATATACCCAATATTTCCTCCATGTGACAGGTTCATAATGAAAAGTGCTAAACATTGATTTTTTCCCACCACACTTCTCCATTGCACCCTTTCAATGAGATGCCTTTGACTTTTTATGCAGCCTTCATGTTGTCTAAAGGAGCCCATTTTAGTTAAATATTTGGTTTAATTTTTCCTCAATAGTAATAAATATTTTCCGTCAGTAGAAGATTTGGCAGCTAATAAGAGAAAAAGAATTTAGATGGCTCATATAAGAAAATCAGAACTTTAAGAAATTATAAAATCAATTCTATTTTGATTTATTCAATTGGCAAAAATTAGTACTTTTGTTTTAAAGGAGAATTTTTTTTTCTTTTAGAGATCAGTGATGGATGTGATTTCAAGTAAAAATGTTAGGCACATTTTACTTTCTTGAAACAAACTTACAAATCTGCTGAAAAATCT